TCAGGTTTATAAAAGTGAGCAAAAGCACATCAACACAAAGGCTGCGTATAGACTTGCCAGCTGTCTACACTGGCCGCTTGAATTTCCGCAAGAACACTGACAATCTCATGTAAGATTGTCAGTGTTCTTGCGGAAATACTATGCTGCTCCTGTTTGGGCAAAAGCCCACTTGTGCAAATGCTTTTGCGGAAGAGGGCCAGTGTAGACAAACGCAGTATTGTTTTGCACAAAAAAGCCCCGATCGCGAAAATGGCGATTGGGGATTTCTTGCGCAAAACCGTGTCTAGATTGGCAAGGACGCTTTTCCATAAAAAGTGCTTTTACGGAAAAGTGTCCGTGCCAATCTAGAAGCTCTTTTCCACAAATGCTTTTAACGGAAAAACATTTCCTTTAAAAGCATTTGCGGAAAATCATGCCAGTGTAGACGTAGCCAAAGAGTTTGTTCCTCTTCCTTCCCACCAATGGACAGTATGAGCAGAAATACTGGCACAGAGAACCCATTCTTACGCATATTTGCTCAGAATGCTCATCAATGGTAATCATAGGCCTTGCAGCAAGATAGGAACCCACCAGACACCAGCCTGAGTTTCCATGTGTCTATATAGCGTTTTGCCTGTAATTCACAGTTACTACAGAGAACAGAGCATGCAGCAATGAATGTAGGGATACACATCATATCTGTATCATATAGCTTTAGGAAGTGTCAGTCTCATAGAGGTGTACTCAGAAACCCCTCTGACACAATGAAGGCAATAGATAAAGCAGTATTTGTTGACAGGTTTATAGTTTTAACATGGCTTCATCACCAAAGGGTGGGTTGCGTTTATGAAAATCACTGCTGGCAAGTAGTTACCATGTCAGTGGGCTAGCATTTTTGTCTTTAGTGGAGAAGGGCACAACCCTTTGACTTGGCCTACCTTTCCTGTAATGCTTCAGAGTGATCAGGCCAGCTGTTATCTTTTCTGCCTTCCAACACATGCACACTGTAAAGCACCAAATATCAGAAACGAGAGACTTCAATATTGCTCATAGCACTGACTGACAGATACCATAGGTATGAGCCCAGTTGGAAAATCTAAACATAACAGGATAGTCCTTGGTGCAGGCAGGTTCTACTGAGGCATCGTGGGATAGCTGCACTGAAAATATCCATAGAAATACAATGGGGCAGAGTACAAGGTGGAGTTTATAAGTTGCTGTTTTGAGACAGACTGAACCAAGTTATTTGTACCAGGTAAGACCAGCATACCTCTGACTGATTAAAAATGAGTGTGACGGGGTCCTCTCTCCTTCTTCCTCATCAACCTTCCTGGCAAATGGGCAGCAAAGCTTGTTAAATCTAAGCAAAGCTTGTTAAATCTATGTCAAATCCTGACCTCCTACGACAAGAGCATGGATGGTCTCAGATGCAGCACAAATGTTTTGCTGGTTCTCCCAAGGAACACAGGGAAGCAGCATTTGAAAAGCCTTCAGAAGAGATGTGTGCCACCTGCACAATGGGAGCTCTCTAGTGAATTCAACCTACAGGGCGCCTGGATCTAATCAACCCATATCTCTCTCTCATACTGGCACAACCCCTTTAGCCATACTATTTGAGTGCTTCAGAGCTATTAATATACTTTCCTCACGGCATCCCTGTGAAGCACAGACACTCTATTGTGGTCATATTACAGGTGGGGAAGTGAGGCATATAGAACATAAGTGACATGCACAAGGCCACACAGGAAGCCCAAAGCAGTAATTGAATCTAGATTGCCCGAATCTCAGGCTAATGCCCAAAACATTGGACTCAATAAAAGAAATGATCAACCACAACAAATCCAAGTGGCTTCTAAACCTACCAAAGCTGCACTCTATTGTGGTCATATTACAGGTGGGGAAGTGAGGCATATAGAACATAAGTGACATGCACAAGGCCACACAGGAAGCCCAAAGCAGTAATTGAATCTAGATTGCCCGAATCTCAGGCTAATGCCCAAAACATTGGACTCAATAAAAGAAATGATCAACCACAACAAATCCAAGTGGCTTCTAAACCTACCAAAGCTGCCTCACACTTTCCAGTTGGCAGATCCCAATTTTCTCTGGCATTATCACACCGTTCCATACCTCATCGATCAATGTGTTCACAGGCCTGCTTCCAGCTCATGACTTAGATATATGGATCTTGCTTTACCGCAGCCCTGAACCCAGAGGATCTCAGTTACTTCCCTTTATCCTTCCAACTAAAGCTTTAAGTCTCCCTTACTTTTCTAAAACCACTAATTTAATTTTTCCTTGTTTTCTTACCAACTTGAGTATATCCATCATATGTATACACACTGTCATTTATTATTATAGGGTGTTCAGAAGAGGTAGAATTCTAACAGTTATTTTTAAGTATTATGGCTTGAGACTACAAAGTCTTTGTTCCATTTCTAAAAATTTTAATTTATGTTTTCTTTTGTAGGGTATTCATGAGAAACAGAATGCTAACAGTTATTTTTAAGCAGTATTGAACCATTTGAGCTGGAAAGAAAAAGAAAAAACTTGCCTATACTTTATAACAAATGGCTTACATTACAGATGGGGGAAGGAAAAGGTAGATCATATTTTTAGAGCCAGACAGTTTTGACACTGGTGCCGATCTTACAACTCATTAAGTATTTATTGTTTGCCAATGGGAAGAGACTAAGTCCCTGTGTCTACTATAGAGTAAGGAAGAAACAGTTGGTTCAGAACTGGATCTTTAAAATCACATTTCATCAAAAAGACTCAGGAGGCTTGTACATATATTTAAGTAGATCATGTATTCTACCCCTCAATAAAGCTCTGTAGGCAGAGAATACATTTTACATTTGAATTTCCCACTGTTTTTTTAAGTTCTTAATTTTTTAAATGATATTTATTGTTATGAGAAAGACAACGGTGGCTGAGGCAATATCTTTTATTGGATCAAGTTCATGTTGGATAGAGAGAGAATTTTTGCAGTTTAAATAGAACTTGTCTTCAGGTCTCACTGCCAACAACATTTATTGCAGTCTGATATGATTTTGTGGTTGGGCCTTTCATTTTTAATTTATGAATTTATAAAAAACTGAACAGAATGTAATTTGTGTAATTCCAAACAACAGAAACAACTAGTTGGTTTTTGATCTTGAACAGGGGAGTTAAAATATTAATCATTTTTATTGACTGTGGCTGGGAAAAGCAATTAAAATGAGGCCAAGTACAGTCATATTAACACTAAAGATAACATTTTAAGTTTTAACAGATTTATTCATATCTTTATTCTCAATTTATCAGGTACTTATGAGGAAAAATTAAATAGATATCATACACACAGAATATGGTGACCGTTTTTCATCACTGTTGGAAACAACGTAATTGTTTGCAGTGGTTAAGAAACCACATGCAAATAAATTAGTCTTCCTTGCTGCACAGAAACTCAGGTGTTTGAAAGTTGCACAAAAGGAAAAGGAAAATACAGAAAAGCAACCTCCATATTTCCCCAAATGTTTTTAAATGGTGGGGCAAAATATAATAAAATACACTGCTCCAAGGATTGACTTCTTAATGCTGAATGACAGATGAAATTCTCATCCCAATTATAAAAAACATGCTCACAAACTTACTGCCATCTGTTTATGTGGCTGATATGGTGTATTTTCTGCTAATGTTCTGTTGAAAGATCCTTCCTTCAAAATACAGAATGGACGTTGGACTATAAGGGTATGTCTACACTTGCAGCCTGTTTTGGAATAGGGCTGCAAATGTAGGCATTCGGAATTGCAAATCAAGCCCGGGATTTAAATATCCCGTGCTTGATTTGCATCTTCCCGGCCGGGCGCCATTTTTGAAATTTACAATCCCAGAATAACTGCCCATGTCTACACGTGCCAGTGAAACGGGCATTCAAATTAAAGCCCTATTTTGAACTACCTGTTATTCCTCCTACAATGAGGTTTAACAGGTAGTTCAAAATTGGGCTGTATTTCGAACCTCCATTTCACTGCCGCATGTAGTGGGCAGTGGGCAGACATGGACAGTTATTCCGTGCTTGTAAATTTCAAAAAATGGCACCTGGCTGGGAAGATGCAAAGCAAGCGCGGGATATTTAAATCCCTGGCTTGATTTACAATTCTGAATGTCTACATTTGCAGCCCTATTCCGAAATAGGCTGCAAGTATAGACATACCCTAAGAGGGATTGGTAAACGAATGAGGAAGGGACATATTTCACATGTCAAAACAAAGTTTTTATCCGTCCCAAGAAGAATGAACAACAGATACAGAAGACGACCATTTAATTATTAATATTTGCAATAATGGGAATATCATTTATAAGTGAGTCCACCGGTTTGGCACTAAATGTTATATTCTAACTTCAGGGTTTAAAAAACTGATTATCCTTTCATTGGCTTCAATAACTATGTTTACTAAAGAAGGAAGAAAAAGATGTATAAGATAACATGCATGTCTGAGGCTCAAGAAAAGCATGTCTGTGCCCAGTACTTTGAAAAAAACGTTTAGCTACAGCTCATCATCATGTAAATATGCTTTCTGTAGCTTTGTCAAGGTCAGTGTTAGCTTGAATAACTTTCTGTATAAATGCCAATCACACAAATAAAAGTTGCCCAAGACAGCAATAATATGTAAATCAGATGCATTCACAAAAAACAACCCTCCCTCAGCTTAAGATGCAGGGTGGTGAATTGTTTGCTTGTGCTAGCCAAAGCCTTCCCATTATTCCTCTTTCTCTTGCTTTCTTTGAACATGAGTTTTTCTTTCCTTCTCTATTGCCTGTTCAGGAGGACAGAGCTATTAAAGAGTCAAGAAAACCAAATCCAAACTTCAGACAAGGAAGTTCTCATTTTGCAGCATTCACAATACAACAGAGTATCCTCCAAAAAGTAACCTTAAATGCTCTTTTTCTTTCATTAGCTGTAGAAAAAAGACTGCAATGGTGTAACAGTTTTGACACAAGCAAAGAAAATAAATTAATGTCTGACACGGACTTACCACGTAAAACAGTGAGTCTAGTGGACACACTTATTTCTCCAACATTATTGGAAGCAACACATTCATAAATAGCTTCGTCCCGTGGAGTCCGCAGAGGCTGTATTCTGAGAACCGATCCAGATCCATCATCAAATTCTATTACCTGTTGAAGGAAACAACAGCTGTCACAGGTGTTGTTACAAATGCCTACCTCTCAACTAATTCTGCATATGCACGATGAACTATCCATACTCATAACATCAAAGCCAGTTTAATTTTTCAGATATACATACGGAGGCAAATTCAACAGTGACTTAACTAAATATTGCTCATTAAAGAAGTGTAAGGATGTTTAAGTGGCAATACACTGATATTCAGTGATCTACGTAAGTGTAATTTACATGGAAGGAGTTAGCCAAAAACCCCACAAACCCAACAATTAACAGAAAAGTGTAAATAAGCATAACCTTACTTTAGACCTGTCACACTTTCTTATACTCCAGAGGGGTAGCTGTGTTAGTCTATACATAGAAAACCTCCCAAAATAACTTAACACAGGACCATTCATTGTTTCTTATAACCCAGTAACACTCTCTTGCTAGCTGCTCTTCAAGCTGCACTCCACTCCATTTCTTCCCTCTTTATCATGTAAGCTCAATTTATTTTGCACCCACATCAAATCCAAATAGTTAAGAATTATACTACTTTGCTATTTAAAGCCAATATTAAATTTGCTCTTTTGTTTATGCTTGAATGTGTCCCAGACACTTCCAAAGGTGATGCCCTTGTTTGTTCCAGCTGTGAATTTGGTCCATGATGTATAAGTAAGATGAACTAATAGTATAATTTAAATAAACCATGTCTAGTTTAGAGACACAATGAAATGACTATTGTTGGTGGCAGTTTATTGTTGTTTTTACATCACTTACATAAGAAACTTTCATTCCCTCACCTGAAAACGTCTGCAGTCTGGAACTAATAGGACTACTGCCTCTTGCCTCCTCTTACTCAGGGAGATGAATCAATCATCTTGTCAGGATGTTGCTGCTCTCTGCAGCAGACCACTCACCACAGGCACCAGATGCACCTTCTCTAGCAACTAATAACTCACTTTCATTAACTATGTGCAACAGTTCAGAATGATAATCAGTTCTGGTGCTGGCTATTCAGCAGGGATATTCATGCATCTCTTCAAAACATTCTGTTGTTTGGTCAGAAAAATAAAATTTATTCTTCTGCTTAAGCAGTCCCCTTTACTTGAGCCAAGAGGCTAATACCTCTACAGGTAGACATGAATGCCTTGCAGGAATAACAAAGCATTGCACTGCCCAAGACTATGTTACTAAGAGCTCTTCTTTTGACTGCTGCATTCGTCTCAGCCAAGCAGTGAAAAGTAAGTAAGTGCCAGGTCACGGCCTTGCAAATTTATAGTCCCACTGCAGATTCTTGTTTGGCCCAGGAGGCTGTTATGTCCCTTGTTCAGTGTCACCTGATTCTAAAGAGGCAACAGACTCTTTCAGCTGCAAAAAGATCCTTTGACAGAGAAGAACAACAGTTCTTTCTTGGGAGCATGAAAGAAAAAAAGAGATTGCAACTTTCTGAGCTGTTGGGATCTCTGGAAATAAAATCAACAGGCTAAACTTCTGGGGAACGGTCAAACACCCCCTCAATGGTTGCTATGTAACATTGGAACCATGAGCATTCTAGACACGTTTGGGCAGTATTGCTACCATGGGCACATGACAGAATTTACAAGCTCTAGACTGTTCGTTTCTCTGTAGTTTGTGTACACAAATGGGTTTTTGCATACGGATAGTTTAACAATTACATGTAAAATAACAGTACTCAAAAATACACATGCAAAGTTGTACCTGTACAAATGCAACCTATGTTTTCAAAATCTGACCCAGAGTTCAATCCACATATAGGAAATACCAGGATTTGCTTTGGCCTCATTTGGAAATTAAAATAGAAGGATAACACATGAATAGCAATCCTCTCTATGAAAATCCAAGGGTCACCTTCTTTGGATATCAGAAAATTGCTGTATCTCCCATGGCAGATCTTGCACAGAGAATTGGGCAGGATGATGTTGAACTAGGCCCAGTCCCATAGATGCAACATTGATCATTAGTCTCCACAATTTTAAGGTCATCTTGCATGTATGCTACCTCATCATGCACATCTTAAGAATGGTTTACTGGCTTTTCTGATTCTTGGAGTAGTCTAAGGGTATGCCTACACTGCATTCCTCTTTCAAGAAAGGAATGCAAATGCAGTTGAGCAAAATTGCAAATGAAGCGCGGATTTGAATTTCCCGCACTTCATTTGCATAATCGCATCCAGGCGCTATTTTGAAATACCGTATTTCAACAAAGGAAATACTGTCCAGATGCGGTTATTTCGAAAGAAAACCCTTCTTTCAAAATTACCCTGAAACCTCATTTTCTAAAGAGTAATGGTAATTTTGAAAGAAGGGTTTTCTTTCAAAATAACCACATCTAAACGGTGTTTCTTTTTTCAAAATACGGTATTTCAAAATAGCGCCCGGATGCAATTATGCAAATGAAACACAGGAAATTCAAATCCGCGCTTCATTTGCAGTTTCACTCAGCTGCATTTGCATCCCTCTCTCGAAAGAGGAATGAAGTGTAGACATACCCTGAGGGACAGAAAATAATATGTGCTCTGTTGGGAAGAAATAAGTGGCACAGCACACATATGGACTGCCTCTTCTTTATTTTCTATCCATTACGAATAAATCTAGAGGGCGCACAGATCTTTCTCTGATGTGAACTCAAACAGGACAGCTGGTTTACATGATGTGCGGGTTGCTATGTACAGAGAGGAGACTCCACCATCCTGAGAAACAGTTTGATACAACATACTTGATAATGAAGGGGAAAGATGGAGAAAGTTAGCACTGAGAAGTGGGCAGTCTGACTTAATGGCTGGAAAAGGGGTGGTCAGACCTTGTGATTAGCATCAAAATCAGTATCAGGAAACCAAAACAGAGGTGAGAAATAGAATCAAAGTCCAGGAAGCAAGCCAGGGATCAGAGCAGGAATCAGAAACCCAAGGCTGGCCTTACCATGAGGTGAACTGAGGCGGCCGCCTCAGGTGCCAGACTGGAGGGCAGGGGCGCTACTAGGACCCTGAGTGTAGAAAATTGTGTCTGCTGCTGGTGCATATGTATTCTCTCTGCTCTAGATGCTCAGAGATGGTGGAGTGCTGTGCTGAAGGAAGGAGGGCACAAGAGACATAACAGGCAGGCAGGAGAAAAAGTGGCATGGGGGCATCATTTGAGCTCCCCATATCAGGTGCCAAAATATTGTGGGCCAGCCCTGCAGAAACCAGAGATCAAACAGGAGTCAGGCCCACTGCAGAAGCCAGATAGGAACTCCTTCATTTGCTCAGATAACTCCCTAGGCCTCCTTCTGGCCCTCATCCTCTATTAGGTTCTGTAGTGGTGCTGTAGTCCACTCCTGCAGGGAAAGGGTTAAAAGAAGGCCAGCAGAAGATTGCACACACTTGGCCAATCAGGGCAAGAAGCAGTTAGGCAATCAGGGCCAGGCTGGGCCATATAAAAGGCAGCAGACCTACGGGGAGCTCACTCTTGCTCTGACCAGCAAGGGAGAAAGCTCTGGATCCCAATTGGGGAGGGAACCAGGAACACTGTGGACAGAGCACTGCTGAACAGTCTCAGGGAAGCCAGACACACAATCTAGGCTGATATCAGCCAGGCTGTGTGGGCCTTGATACAAGGGCCAAGAAGGAGCAATGGTCACAGAGAAGCGGCTCAGGAAACACTGCATGGCAAGGGGAGAGAAAGGGGGCAGTGAGAGGCCACCAGAGGACCCCTGGGTCAGGACCCATAGTAGCGGGCAGGCCTGGGTCTCCTCCACATTCTTTCTTGCACCATACCTTGCCACATTGAGCATGGTCATAGCAGACTGCAGCTTGTCCCTGAGATGAGGGGCTAGACTTTGGGGCTGTAGTTGGCTGCTGAGGCAGGTGTGAGCTGGAGGACTGCCAATATACCCAGAAGGGAGATTGAATGGAGTGGTGGGCACTGCTGGAGGGCCGTGTTCCTGAAGTGGATGGTGGAGACAGGAGAACAGACAATGGGTAAGGTGCTGACCAGATGACAGTGCACTCTACGAACAATTGAGCTAATTCCCAGCGTGAGAAGCAGGAGGCACCCCAGTGGTTATTTGAGACCCCTGTACAAATTACACTATGGATTAGATATAGGTCAGTTTTTCTTATGGGTTGATTTAGGAAGAAAAAGATTTTTATCAGCAACTGTGGGTAAAAATTAATCATATACCAACCAACACAAAAAACTTCCATTGATAATAACAGAAATGTACAGACAGGCAAAGAAAGAAAAATGCTGCTTGAAAACTTGAGAATCAGTGTGGGTATTTCTACACTACCACCCTAGTTCTAACTAGGGTGGTTAATGTAGGCAACCGGAGTTGCAAATGAAGCCAGGGATTTGAATTTCCCGGGCTTCATTTGCATATTGCCGGGTGCCGCCATTTTTAAATGTCCGCTAGTTCGGACTCCGTGCCCGCGGCTCGAACTAGGTAGTTCGGAATAGGCTTCCTATTCCAAACTACCGTTACTCCTCATGGAACGAGGTGTACCGGTAGTTCCGAATAGGAAGCCTAATCCAAACTACCTAGTTCGAGTCGCGTGTAGCCGCGGGCACGGAGTCCGAACTAGCGGACATTTAAAAATGGCGGCGCCCGGCAATATACAAATGAAACCCAGGAAATTCAAATCCCGGGCTTCATTTGCAACTCCGGTTGCCTACATTAACCACCCTAGTTAGAACTAGAGTGGTAGTGCAGACATACCCTGTTTGATTTAAGGATAAGTACTTCATATTATTTTGACAGGTGATGTTATCAATTGTATTAAAAATTATAATGTTATAATGGTCTGCTGTCATAAAACTTTATTGTCTAGACCCTCACCAATTGTATAATCCCCACCCCAATTTCCCACAAATGTGAAAATTTAAATTTATAAAATCATATAAAATGCTTAAAACCCATAATTTTGAGCAATTGTGAAAAATCAGGAAAATAATGTTTCTAAAAAAAATGATTATCCATAAAAATAATAAAAATAAAAATCAAATTCTGCCAAGCTTGCTTATGGGCTAAAAATGTTACTTTTTGAGCAGTATGGATGAAATGTTACTTTTTGAGCAGTATGGAGAAACCCAGTAGTTCTGATTGCAAAGATTATCTTCTAAACTGTAAAAGGGACCTCTAATGGCTAACTATTTATTATATAAACCTGTAGATGGTATCATGAGCTTTCATGGCTACAACACTCCAGTCATCTGAAGAAGTAGGTTGTACCCACGAAAGCTCATGATACCATCTACATGTTTTGTTAATCTTTAAAGTGCTACCAGACTATTAAAGTTTTTCCTGTTACAGACTAACTCAATTGCCTCTCTAATGCTATTTATTATATATTATTTCAGATTGTTTTTGTTGCATGTTTCATAATTCCTTGTTTAGCTGCATATACTTTGCAACAGTGGTCCCCAACGTAGTGCCTACGGGTGCCACGGCACCTGCCGGGGCATTTATGTGTGCCCGCCTAGTGACCAGGGCCATCCCGAGCCGTTCTTGCGCCCCAGGCTGTGGGCCCCTGGCACATGCGCGGTCCCCACCCCAGGCGAGCGGCACATGCACGATGCCGCCCCTGGGTGCGCAGCGCATGCGTGGCCCCGCCCCCGGGCACCTGGCAGCCCCAAAAGGTTGGGGACCACTGCTTTACAAGTTGTTGTTTTGTAAAGAAAGAAAATAAGATCTGTACATATTTGGCTTTTTTCCCATCAGAAAGTCCATCTCACTTGCCTAACAATCAGCTTATCAGAATTCCCCAGTGGACAGAGGGACTTTCAACTGAACACTTAGGAAACTGAGTGACCATAAGAACATTGGGTAATCCTAGATGCTGATTGGTTATTGGAAAAGTTGCAGATGACTGGGCTGGGGAAACCTTGTGAAGTTCAGATGTTGAGTCTTAAAATTAATTTTGTGGGGTGCACCACAAGAATAAGTTTGTGAACTCTTCTTTTTCATAACCTGAACTCAAATATTTCTGCCCACTCCTTGATACTTAACTGAAGTGAAGGCTATGCTCCTGCATGTACAGTAGACTTCCGATAATCTAGGACCTAGGTGGTGACAGATTATCAGATATGCCAGAGTATCGGGAGGTACTCCGACGGGCAGCTGTGACGGGTCTTCTGGGACCCACACTGTGTCCAGGGGCTGGGTGGGGAATGGTGCAGCAAGGGATGAACCCTCTGCTGTTTTGCAGGAAGGCAGGGGAAGCCCTGCATAGCTGCCGAGAGTTTCCAGGAGGGGAGCGGGCTCTCCACCCCCCAGACTGCAGTAGTTATCGCCGAGCAGGAGGGGTGAGAGGCAACACTGCGGGACCAACCTGGCAGCATCCCAGCTGCTCTGCTCCACTGCTTCCCGAAGTCCACTGCTCATCAGTTTCAGCAGCGGCAGACTTGGGGAAGCAGCAGAGCAGAGCAGAGCAGAGCAGCTAGGGTGCTTCCGGGTTGGTCCCACAGTGCCGCCCCTCACCCCCCTGCTCGGAGATAACTACTGCAGTCTGGAGGGTGGGGAGCCCGCTCCCCTCTGGGAAACTCTTGGCGGCGGTGCGGGGCTGAGCGCAGCCAGAAGGGGGCAAGTTCGGGGACTGAGCTCTCGCAGCTGCGTGGAGCTTCCCCCACCTTCCTGCCAAATGGTGAAGGGTTCGCCCCTTGCCATGCCATTCCCCACCCTGGCCGGCTGCAGTGCAGTCCCGGCAGACCCATCACAGGGGTATAATCCCCTTCCCCTCTTCTCCCCTTCCCTTTCCCAGCCGCGAGCGTCCATGGGGCTCACAGCAGCTCCAATTGTCCGGCTGGCCGGAGCACTTCCGGGTTCCAGTTGGTGCCGGACTATCGGGAGTGCCGGACCACTGGATGCCAGACAATTCAAGTTTTAATGTACTAAGAACAGAACCTACATGTCTCCACTACAGGGAGTGGTGAAATATACAACATTTTTTCAGTTGTTTCCTCTTTCCTTGCTCCATTTCTTTTGCAGTCTCTCCTCATCAGGATTCTTAACCACTAATTTTCAAACTGAACTTTCTAATGAACATTGTTTGAATGGATTTGAAGCAGGAAAAATGCCATGCAGCAGCATTCATTCATAATACATATTTACTGCATGTGAAAGGTCCTCCCTTTCTGAAATTTCTGAAAAATATAAGCCATTCCTATTAATTATTGGGTAATACTCAGTATTTGGAACAGTTAAAACAGGGAGCAAGAGCACTTGTGTAATGTGAGGTAGGCAGGTGAAGCCTCCTTACTATGTAATGAAATTCAGAAACATACATAAACTTTTATTTTAGCAAATAAGGGGAAAAACAAGAATAGTTATTGGAGACCCCTGCAGTTACTGCTGAGGTGAAAAGTCTGAAATATTCTCTTTTTTTCCATGTGAGTTTTCTGAATATAATTTCTGCTCTACTATCCATTTGAAAATTCTACAGCATGAGTTAGCTTTTTTTTTGAGAAGTAAGAAAGCTCCTTAAAGTGTTAATGTGCTTTCTGCTTTAATTAACTAGCTTTTCAGTGCTTTATAATGAAAATCACTTGTTAAATATTTCATAATTCTTTGAAACATGTTCTATCCTGTTTGAATATGAACTCTTGTTCCACATGCCACTTAAGGTCTTTTTAAAATACATTTTACATCATATATTTATAGTTCTGTTAAAATATTTTATGAAACTAAAACATGCTTATCTTTTAGCCTATTCTCCCATACAACAAATAAAGATATAAACATAATATGATATATGACACAAATAAAACAAAACTGCAAAATAAAACTAAATGAACACATTCAACACCTAGACATATACATAAACATGATCTGTCTGTTATTCATCTTCCATGTAGATTTTGTGACCATTATGCGACAGATTCTGTATACTTTATAATAAAAGTGTCCATTCTCCTCTAATTCCAATTACAAAAAAAGAATTATGCATAAGTATTGAAAGCTGAAAGCAACCATCTGCATTGAGCACTAAAAACTTTTGACAACTATTTTTCTTACTGGATTAAATACATTTTTAAAGACCCATATTAGCTAGTGAGAGGCTGACAGATCATGTATGTTACCTAAACATGAGCTGATTGCTTTTAAATACACTTAAAACAACTATCCCACACTAGCTATGATTCTGTTCTATCTGGGATGATGTAGACAGTGCTTGGTCCTTCCAGAGGTCTGGACTCAATGACCTCTCAAGGTCCCTTCCAGTTCCAGTATTCTATGATTGTATGATTCACATAAGAAATAAAAGACAGTCTTTGCTCTACTGGCATAGCAGGACTAATTTCCAACATCTTCTGTGAGTTATCCACTCAAATATCATCAAAAACTAGCATCCTGGGTGAGTGCTATGTCTCTTCAGAGTCAGAGGTACAGATTTACATTTTCCTATTAACATTTTGGCAGCCAAGTCTATATCATTCATTCATTCATTCATTCATTCATTCATTCATTCATTCATTCATTCATTCATATAGTGTGTGTCATAACTGTATAGATTATTTAGTACTTTGCTTAGTGATTACTTTCCTAACGAAAAACCCTATTATTAATATTGTGAAACTAGTGGAGATGCAGATGAAGTTATACATGAGCAACTCCAGTTTTTTGGTATCATCTTCTCAGAACAGGCATCTGGAATGCATCTTTGCTCAATCCACAGGCCAAACCAATCTTAATCCCAACTCCTCCCACCACATAAAGAGGCAATAGTGTCCCCAAAACACCCCCGTATTTCAACTAGTAGACCGTCTTTATCATTTTGTTCAATTTTTCTAGCCATGAAGGGTAGGAAATTCACTTCCTCTGAGATCTTTCTCAATACTGATCATTTTAAAAGGCAAAAGGAAACTCTTCAAAGATATCAGCAAACTGTCGTCTCTTCACTGGTCTTGGGCACAACTGGTTTGCTGAGCAGGTGATTCCCAGAAGTGCTTGCAAAAATTTATCACCTGCAGTAATGGCTATTTGCTTAGTCACTGGTAATAAAGCACACTCCCCAGGATTAAAAGAAATAAAATAAATGTGATGTTAGAATGAAGGTTTTTCAGAGGAACAGAACAATGGACCTAATACCTCAAATCTCTGATTGCTGACTTTCTTGCCCTTTTTATTCCAGACAATTTTAGGTCTTGGGTCTCCTGTAGCTTGGCAGATGAATGATGCGACGCCTCCAGAGACCCCTGTCTGATCAACGGGAGTTCTTGTAAATTTTGGCGGTGCTAAAACAAGAAAATAAGTAACAAAATAAATCTAAGCAGTAGACATAAAAAAGCATGTCAAGCTGTCAAAATGAAAATAAAAAAGGAGGAAATACTCTGTTTCTCTAGGAATGGTATTCACCTGTAAGAGAAGACTTTAAAAAAACTTAAAAGGTCAGAAGAGCACTTAAGAGATTTCACTAGTAAAATCTGTATTAACACAGAAATCTAATACCATCAGAATAAGAAGACCATGCATTAATTTTATCACCATTATAAATAAAAATCTAATGTGTCCTCTGTTGCAAAATGAGCTCATCCATCAAATGGAATAAGATCATGGTCCATGGTTTGATGTTACTATCAGGGAATATCATGGAAGCAGGTTTTGTACCTTTGAGCCATTAAAATCAGTGACATTTAGGACAGAAACATTTGGAAAAGTTTGAGGAGACAGGTATAAATGCCTACAGATTTAAAATCCAGACGAGAGAGGAAAAAGGACAATAGCAAATGCTTGCCCATAATTTATGACACACCAGACTGATTAATTCTGGTCTCTCTCCCAAATTATCCCAATATCACAAGAAAGAAGGAACAGTGCGAGAAAGGAAAAATGAAAAGATAAAGGGAAACATAAAAATAAAAAGGAGTATGGATTTTCTCTAATTCTTCCTTTTACTTATGTTTAAGAAGAAAACAATTCCTTTTGTTAATGCAATCCAACCTTGCTGATGAGAATCCTGGTTAAACAAAACCCCCAGTGTTACCAAGGCCAATATGCCGCTGATGTGCAAATTCTGGGCAGGGCATTGGACTCAATAACCTCCTGAAGTCTCTTCCAACCCTTTGACTCTATGATTCTAGAAACTTAAAGTTAGTGCTCATGGTCAATGATGTGCAGATACCCAAGGTTTCAAAAGTACCAATCTCCTCTGTTTTGAACTGGCATATACAGTTATTATATGGAGGTTACTATGTTTATCTTGAAATGGAATGGAAATCTTTTTGAAATACAGGCAGTCCCCGGGTTACATGGATCCGACTTACATCAGATCCCTACTGCGAAGCTAGCGCCCCCCCCAGCAGACCAGGTTGACGCGGAGTGGCTTTTCTCTGCAGACACCTCTGCTTGAGAATAAAGGACTGAGGGAAGTGAGGTGTGGGAGAATAAAACTGAGCTCTGGAGAAATGTTTGGCTAGAGTTTCCCCTACAATATGTACCAGTTCCGACTTACATACAAATTCAACTTAAGAACAAACCTACATTCCCTATCTTGTACGTAACCCGGGGACTGCCTGTATGCACATTGATTTAATCTAGTCCTATCCACCTCTTTAGACCCATCTATTTTTTTTAACTTTCTTTTCCCCAATTTCTTTCATCATATATCTTCTCTCTTGATTATTCCCTTTTCTTTTGTAGCCCTTCCTGTTAGCTATTGGTTTTTTAAAATTTGTTGTTTTTCACGTATAACTTCTGACTCCATGCTCTACTGAATTAGTATTTACAGAGGAAGTACTTCTTATCAAGCACTGATCAGCAATGTGGAAAAATGAGAAGATCGTAAACAAGTATCAGTATCCTTGATAGAAAAATGTTAAAATCAGTGAAATTTACGTAAAATGAATAAAAAGGAGGAACAGCAGGTGGCTGACATTATAAAAGAACTTGATGTATTGTCCAAAATAGGCATATTTAATACAAGATTATCAAGAATATCCTGAGTATGCCAAGATGAACCATGTATTTTTATGTTATTGTTAAAGTGTTACAGGGAAATTGTGAAAAACTGTTTGCCAACTACGAAAAGAAAATATAATGCTGCTGTAAAATTACCATATTTTAAATAGATGCGGCAGGCAAAATATTCATTGCTATAGTCTCAATTACAATTTAAGGTAACTTGATCAGATAATGTTCCACAACCATTTTATGTTTCCATCATGTTTTAGTTTAATTTAATTAAAAAAAAAGCCTTGGGATTCACAATCAGAGCAGTTGTTTTTGTGTATAATGAAGCCATTTTATAGTCAGAATATTACATCTACTGATAGAAAGTGGCAGCAAGACTTAGTTATTAGCCTATATAAGCAGCTCTACAGAATGCTCTGGGAAGCCTGAACTATTCACTGAACTAATTCTGTCTACTGAAGTTCTAAATGCTTGAAAAACAAGTTCACTAGTGAGCCTAGAACTAACAAAGTAAAGAGCATGTCACTCTCCTGTGGAATCCAACAACTATAATAAAAAGCTTGTCTCAAAACCAAACCAAACCTGGAGTTGTAAATAGCCAAAGAAATAACAGGAAAGAAATGGGAACGTCCTCCATCAGACACAAACTTTACATTTATATCTCAGAAGAGAGAACAATTAAGTGAGATCGAAAGCATCTTCATTAAACAGATCCGGCCAGCTTTGGACCCTTTTCTATGTATGCATTAACCTTACACTCTGATATGTAAAAAGACATGATTGGGCATGAAATGCTCAGATTCCATTATGCAAGCTGTGGATTTTCTGTTATCAAGTGAAAGTTGAAATATTACTATGCTCTTTTTATTCTTTTTGACAGTGAAAATTCAACAAAACACCTGCAAAACACTTGAAAGAAAAATGCTGGGTCAGTGAATCCTTTGAATAAAATAACTGTGTGTTTGGGCTACTTAGGAAATACTTTAACTCCAAACTGTGTGAATCCACATGTGCCCTACACCATGCCTTGTACAGATTAGCCCCCGTTGATTTAAACCTCACAATAATTAAGTAACAAAAAGTATAACTTCTTTAGACTTATCTAAGTGTTTTTTTCAAGACACAAACTGTATACTGTAAATCATATCAAGGGTTAAGAATGGAACCTTTCCACCCCTACAGCCACTAAATCAATTATCTTGCAGGCAAGATTATACAGGATATTTTTAAAAATTCTTAAATCAAAGTATGTTGAATTAGTTCTGTGGACTGTATGATAGGGTTTATAGTGCTGCCCATCAACATACTATATGAGGCAGTACCATGCTTTATTGCGCTGCTATAAAATGTAGTGGAGGAAAAGGAAGGAGAAATAAAGGGGACATTTCCCTTAATCAAAATTCAGAGCCAAATTCTCTCCTGGAGTAAATCAGTACAACATCAATGAAGGCAATGGAGCTGCACCACTTATACCTCAAAATAATTTGGCCACCCCTTTTAAAAATTACTTAAAGCCTTTATTTCCAATACTGCGCCAACCGCACCACTGCTTAAGGAATAGTTCTGCCCTGAAAACTGTAAAGCTAGCACTTTCGTTTATAGAGTTAAGAGTGCTGACTGCAAAAAATGTTTGGCTTTTTTACCACTGCAGAGCACAATTAAGGTTGCCAGGTGCCCAGTTTTCAACCAGAAAGTTTGGTTGAAAAGGGTACCTTACAGTATCCAATTAGATGTTCTTACTGGACATCAAAAGCCAAGTAACTGTTGGGGGGATGAGGGTAGGTTGTGCCAGGTCACCAACATATTCCAGTCTCTGTTCAGACAGGGCTGCGTCCTACCTTCATCTCATGGGCAGGCACCCCATGTCAGTCTGCAACTCTGGGGAAAAGGGAATCTAGAGGGAGGAGGGAGAGAGAAGAGGAGAGGATCCAGTGTTGAGGAGGTGAAGTGGGGGGAGGGAGGGAGGAGGGTGGAGATCAAGATGCTATGAGGAAGAACAAGCAGGGGCAGGGCCTAGGGGAAGAGGTAGAGCAGGGGATTTAGCACAGCAGGAGGGGTCCTGTTGTCAGAAAGTCAGTAACCCAAAGCACCGACAGATGAGAGAGAGAGCAAATTGAATTCTATTCTTTCTTGTGCAACACCTACAGAATTATTTACTATGTTCCTCACAGATATCCTGGTGAAAATCTACTGAAGGCAATCAGTTTGCAGAAATATAATTGTGGTTTTAGTTTGGCCTTCAAAACTTACAGCGTTGATTCAAAAGAAGAAAAACCCACCACTTGGCTCTTAAATCCCAGGATGAGGTTTTGCAGGATTAATGAAAAAAATCATCATAATTGAGAATATTTCTTATGGGAATAATAGGCAAAAAAAAAATGAAACCCAGGATGAAATTTTTACAGTCATTTTTAAGACTAGTATCACATTTTAAAGTAGTCCTGAGAAGAGTGTAGTATGACTTTTATTAGTACAGAGTTCATACCTTCCAATTTCCCAGTGAGAAGCCTGGGAGCTTCTTTTCCCCATTGTTTCATTTCACCAAGTAAAATAATCTACCAAATAGAAATTCCCCTCTATTGAATACGAAAAATCTGCCCAGCGGAGTGAGTGTTCAACGTGATGAACAGTGTTTAAACTAAATAGAAATGTCTAAAGAGCACACATGTTTATCAGTGCTGCCCTTCTATCTAAACAGAATGGCAATAACTGTAGAATAGTGATAGAAATGTAGCTGTGTTAGTCTGGTCTAGCCAAAACAAAAAACAGGACTATGAAGCACTTTAAAGACTAACAAGATGGTTTATTAGGTGATGAGCTTTCGTGGGCCAGACCCACTTCCTCAGATCAAATAGTGGAATAAAATTGGCATGACCATGGCAAACCTCATCACCTAATAAACCATCTTGTTAGTCTTTAAAGTGCTACATAGTCCTGTTTTTTATTTGTTCATTGTGAAGGCAGGATCAAGCTCTGTCTACACCATCCCTGACAGATGTCTATCTAACCTGTTCTTAAATATCTCCAGAGAGGGAGATTCCACCACCTCCCTTGGCAATTTATTCCAATATTTGACCACCCTGACAGTTAGGAATTTTTTCCTAATGTCCAATCTAAACCTCCCCTGCTGCACTTTAAGCCCATTACTCCTTGTCCTGTCCTCAGAAACCAAGAGGAACAAATTTTCTCCTTCCTCCTTGTGACACCCTTTTAGATATTTGAAAACCGCTATCATGTCCCCCCTTAATCTTCTTTTTTCCAAACTAAACAAGCCCAGTTCATGAAGCCTGGCTTCATAGGTCATGTTCTCTAAACCTTTAATCAT